ATATCAGAAGATTACTCAATCAGCTCGACATTAGAGTTTTCTTCAAAACATCAGACACACTTCAAAGCAACCTTGTCCACATAAAAAACCAAATCCCAAAAGATTCTTCATCTAATTGTGTCCATAAAATAAAAAGCTTGGAATGTGATGCGATCTATATCGGACAAACATCTTGCGAAATTAAAATCAAAACCGTAGAACATCTCTGCGACCACCGAGAAATCCAGCTGAACTACAAAAGCTTGAAAAGCCATCAGCCATCGGTCTACAAGCTATAAAGTCGGGTCACAAAATTGATTTTGACAATATTGAAATAATCCAAAAAAATTTCAGAAATCACAAAGAACGTCTTAGTTCTGTCTGTTATTTTTTCTCTCTGTCAGACTGTTTGACGCCGTCTGTGTCTGCCCGAGTGTCGGTGTGTGTGTGTATGTGTGTTAATCACTCTGCTACCACACAAACAGGATCCTGGGTAAAGAGTTGGTTGCATTCCTATTTTTCTGATAGAATGCAGTATACTGCATATAACGGCAAATCTTCTACCTCGCTAACAAAATCCGGTGTTCCACAAGATGCTGTCCTCTCTCCTTTTTTTTCTTTCTTCCTACATGACCTACCTCATTCAAACGAAACTAACTTTCTCAAATATGCAGATGATCTGACTGTATCACTGCCTATCACTTCCGAGTCTGACAGCTCCAAACTTAATAGCTTTCTGTTGGACATCGACAACTGGTCCAAGTCAAATGGTCTTATACTAAATCCTTCCAAATGTCAGGCGCTTGACTTTACTTTCAAGCATCGACGCGACTTACTTGAACTAGTTACCTTGCATGATCCCTGTAGCATAGATGGCACGGAAATTGAAACCAAATCAAGCATTAAATACCTTGGATTAGTTTTTTCCTCTGACCTTTCATGGTCATCCCATATCTTATCTATCTCTAAGAAAATGTTTCGTCTTACCTTCTACATTAAAAAGTTAAGACAATCAGGTATCAACCAACCTTTAGTTTTGCAATTTTTAAACTCCTGTATTTTACCTATTGTACTCTATTGCTCTCCATTAATCTTTCCTGGGCTTCTCAAAAAAGATTATATCATAATACGAAGAGTATTAAATGCTGTGAGTAGAGCTTGTGGTATGCCACTGCATGAGCTCGCTAATACTGTAATCGAGAGGCATATAAGTTCCTGTACGAAATGGGCAAAGGCTATACTGTCAGACCCTCTGCACCCCCTTTATTGACAACTATCCCCTTGTATCTCATCAGGGAGGACGAGAAGTCAATATAAAAAGTTATATGCTCGTACCACTAAGTATAGAAATTCTACAATACCCTATTTAGCGCGTACTTTATGTGACGAAGACTCTGTTAGACGTGAAACTTACAAGTTACTATGTAATTAGCACAGTGGATCGACCCTTTTATCGTTTCATCTTTCTGTATTTTATGGTGTCACCTTTTCTATCGTTTAAATCGTTACTCTGCTATTTTATTTTTAGTTGGTATTACTATTATTACTACAATTTTGTACTTAATACATATTTTTCTCCGTATGGCACACAGTATTTTGCTACGTAGCTGCTATAACAATCGTTTTATTACTATTATGTAATGGGTATTTTTAATTTTTTGTCGTTTTTGAGTAAATTAGATGCAATATTGTACTGAAATGCTGAAAATTCCTTGCTGTATCATGAGTACTGTTTTTGGAATAAAGCTATTATTATTATTAATATAGTAGAAGCACTTCATATCAGAAGGAATCCAGACTACCTGATGAATAGAAATGATGGACTTAAACAGGATTTGACCTTGTGGCAACACCTATCCCACCACCTGATGTGACAAACTCAACACGAATGTGATAGTTAACTTCATTATGTAAGCACACGCTGCTTTATAATCTTATACGCTTATCAAATGCAACAATCTACACCTGGTTTTGTTATCTTTACCAGTTGGCCAACTTGACTAAGCGAAAATGACGCCATGCTGATGAACGGTGATTAAATTTTTATATATATGATGAGATTTTGTAGATTCTGGTTTAATAAGACTTTGATAAAGCTATTAGCAGCACTAAATATCGAAACGTCAGTAAATTCAACAATGTTGTTTTGTTTTTTATTCATTGGGAAATACAAAAAAAGCTTCATTATAAGGAATATTATATACTGAATGCTCAGATTTTTTCAAATAGTTAAAAGTGAACCTGGTTTGGACATAGTGCGTCGGTGGAACAGTGGTTAGGACTCTCGCCGACCATGCACATGGTCCGAGGTTCGATCCCCTGCCGACGGACACCTGATATCTATGGTCGGCCTGCGAAATTTGGGCTACCAATATCCATGCTGAAAATTCCATACTTGTACCAAAAATACAGTGTGGAATCAAGCTGTAATCAAAATATAATATATGGTATTTATATCACTTTAAATGCCTGCTGTAACTTTGGGAATAATTGAAAAAGACACAGCGAACACAGATTTAATTTATCACTCACATCTCATCTTATCAGATTATTTAAAGCAATTAGTTCGCTTTATGAATTTCGACAAAACAATAAGAAGACGTAGTGTATCTGAAACGTGTAATATATTGGCGCAACACATTTCGGACATTCTGATCACACATGTACTTGTCATACACAGTTTTTTATAGAAGGCATCAAGGCGTGAATAATCACAATACAGGTGAGATTGTGTACAGGTCAAGGCCACAAATAATGGGTAGGGAGACGCAAAAGGTGTGAGTAAGAAAGAGGAAAAGAGAAAAAAACAAGGCAAAGAAGGGATTGAAAATACTATGAAGTAAATTGGTCCTTGGTTCTAAATTGGATTACCAACGCAGGTTTAAGGGTGATAACAAATAACTTTTGTCCAAAAGTTCTATAAAAACTATGTATGACAAGTACGTGTGTGATCAGAATGTCCGAAATGTGTTGCGCCAATACATTAGACGTTTCAGACAAACTAGTTTTCTTATTGTGTTATCAGATTATGTCCATAACTAATATCAGGAGGTCAATCGCGAGCCCGAATAGCTCAGTTATAACGTCTCTGACTGCAGCACCGGGTGACGTGAGTTTGAATCTCAGAAGGGATATGAGTTCCTTCAAGGTTTCAGATATGCCTTGCCGACTGATGAGTGCCAACTAGCACGAAATCCAGGTCCAAGGCTTCCTGCCGATTGCCTCCAACTATCCAGTGATAAGAAAAAAGATACTATTATGACAGATAGCATGATAAATAGAGTTGAATCAAAGGATCTCAGAATATACAGCTACTGTTCGTTGAATTTTGGATAGTAACAAAATGATAAATCAACTGGAATATAAGACTGAAATTTTAGATATACTTTCTAGCATTATAGGTTTGTATAGTATTATTATTTCTTTGGGTTCCTAGTGAAAGAAAGGTCTTCAACAACACATCTCCACTTTCCTCTATATTCTGCCATCCTATTCAGCTTGTTCCACAATTATACGTTTAAACTGGTAGAAATTAGGTATGGCCAGAAACAAACGTGGTATTCGTCTACGAGGATAATAGAAAAGATTTGTAACTCAGGTGGATGATTTGCAATTAATAGTGTTCTCTGAGCTGGTTGGTTTAGTTGCGGAGCTTTCGTCGCCTTTCAGGACGACATCTTCAGCGCAGTATTTAGGATAGAGTGAAATGATTTTAAATTTCTTCATGAGTGATATAGTTGCGTCAGTGGCACAGCGGTTAGAACGCTCGCCGACCATGCACATGATCCAGGGTTCGATCCCCAACTGACGTACTCCTTTACCTCGCTAAGCCAGAAACAATGCTGGTAAAGAGGAAAGGTTGGGCATGAGGCTAGAAACCCCATCCTGTAAAATTGAACACTGCTACAGAAACTTCAAGCCACTAGCTTGAAGCCCCATGTTCCACCGGGGAATATGAAGGTAAAAAAAGAACTGCTGGAGATATCACTGAAGATTCTTCTCAACTCATGATTTATATTCATTATTCATTGTCTTTAAGCGCGACTTTTTGAAACATACCATTATGAACTCGTATACTGTTGTGCAAAACTCTATGTTGATAATTCAAGTCAGTTCAGTTACCAAATGGTGATTATAATAGATGCAGGTTTCAGAATATGAGTTAAAATGGTTAAAATCAGCCAATTTAATAAAGATTAGCAAGTGGATCTATAGCCTTGAATAATAAGCGATAATGTGTGGAGTTCAAAAACTACTTAAACTTCTTAAATGAAACAGTGTCCTGCATGGAACACGTTCATATTCAGTCCCAGCCTAAAACCACACTGATTACGAAAATATTACTGCATTCAGAGATAAGTGTTGATGATCAGAATGTTTTATAAGTTCATTTTTATGAGGTAGAATGCGACAAATGAAATGCTTTCAGATTGATTATAATTCATTTCTCTTTACACGATGACTAGCTAAGTCTATTTATCAGGTGTTGATTTGCTGTTTTCATTGGTTACATTGGTTGAGGTCGCACTAAATCACGAAACAGTAGAAGTTAGAATTCATTCATTGGCCATTGAATCGCGTCCCAGTGGCTGAATGGTATACAAGCTAGCTTGCCTTGTAACCGGAAGGTCCTGGGTCCGAGCCCCGCCCAGTGGGTGCATACTGTTGATGATTCCCAAACTAGGATGAAACAGCTGGCGTATGACCAGAAGATGACGCGTTTCGAACATTGGTCAGTGCGTACCAGTGAACAGTTTCGAACTAGGACGAGACAGCTGCGCAGTACTCCCTAATTTTCCAATGGTTATCTAACTAATGTCACCTCTTGATAAAGTCTACAAGTCTATTTCCTGATAGCTTTTTACTTAAAATGCAGTTAATGCATAAAAATTGCATACAAAACATTTTAGTCTAATTAACAAGTGAACAATAAATAAAATTTTAATCAGACAAAAAATAAAATTTTGTCTAAATATGACATAAAATAAAACCGCCACATGATTCCATGTTAATTAACCTACCTCTTCCGGTTGTTCATTCAACAATGCCACCAATTTTTCAATTGTTCCAAGTTTTTGAAATTGTTTCACATTCTCTTTGGAAATTGCACATTTCCAAATAGCTCCAGTAGCAGACGCCAATAACTCTTTATTATCTTCTTTATTTAATAGTGCTATCAATGGTTCTAGACCACCGTGTGTACGAACTAAATCACGTGTCTCAGGTTCTTCTGCACACTAAGCAAAAGGAGAAAAAAAGGGGTTAAATAGCAGAAACACTAAACAACCACAAACGTAGAAGAAGAGATAAATTTAGACATTAAGAAGTTCCACTTTAACTTAGATAACCTTTTCAAACAGAAATCATTAATAATACTAATGTGTAGGCTTGACATCATTTTATATTATAAAATTGTAAATTTGGAAGGTTAATTTCAAGAGAAAGCTAAGAATTAAACCAAAGTATAGTTCCATTATTAAAATAGTGGTTATTTTCTCATGAAATCAAATCGATTGTTACAAAAGATCTTCATTTTTTAATATCACCAGTGAAATCACATATTAATCAGTTATTTCTGTAACACAGTGGTAGAATAATAGGAAATCAATAATGTGTGTGTGCTTAACAGCCAATTATTTAACATCGCAATCACTTTTTGATGTGGAATGGTGTTTTGGAAACAGTCTAGGACAATTTTTTTGAAAATCTGAAGACAAGATAACTGATTCATTCGTGCGTAGTATGGCCTAAACGCTTTTGTTTTAATCACGGTGACCTGCTTAACTAATTTGTCACAGATCAAAATGCGTCTAATTTGCTTAGTTATATCTTGGATCACATGAACTGCCTTCTTGCATCATTCATCAGGCATTCCATGTACGAATAACATTGTTGGGTGTAAATAGCATCCCCTTATACACTAAACTTGGTCAGTGTAATATACTAAAGAGCTTACTTTAAATATAGTCGAAGCACAATGCATTTGAAGTTCAGCGTTATCCCGTTTTAAATTTTTCACTAAATCCCCGATCATACCTTCTGTACGTATTGCAATACGATAACTTTCCTGTATAAGAAAAAATCGAAATTAGTAGAATGCTTGAATTGGTTAGTGAAAAGTTTATGAAGAGAATGAATAACATTCGTTAAAACAGTTTGTTTTGTGACAAATCTCACGAAAAATATCCCAATAATGTAATAGCACTAACCCTCTTAACCTTGTTTGAAGAGGGTCCATCGAAAGCAATGTATTATTTATTATTGTTCCCTTGGGTTCCTAGTGGAACACAGGGCTTCAACTGCACGTCTCCACTTGCCACTTCTGTCTTATGCTCCACTTTTCACCTTCATCCATGTTAGTCCATGCTCTTTCAACTCCTCTTCACACGATCTCCTCCATGTCACCCTTCCACTGACATCCCACTTGCCGCCGCTTCCCTTTCGGGTTCCACTCAAGCAATGGCCTGATACGCACACGATGTCACCCAGCGGTCTCCTCAGCGAGTGTCTAATCCATCTCCATCTACTTTCTCCCGCATATTTGTTGGGCGATTAGTTCTTGTTCTGTTTTTTCCCATAGTTTCTTGTTAGTGATTCTTTCCGGTCCGGCCATCCGATCTTCAGTATAGAGCTAGCGAAGACAGTTGTTGATAAAGGTCTGGTCTGCAACAGGCTGTTGGAAATATTCTTTGTGACCCGCCCACCAACTTTCTGATCCATATAGAAGAGCTAACTGAATTGACGTTTGTATTGAAAATCCGACCGAATTTTGTTGTTGATGCAGAGTGACGAAGATTTCTAGATTGGTTTCAGGTTGATGAATGTGTTCCTCGCCTACCGGATCCTCGCTCGATTTGACATCCTCGTCCGTTCCGACTTCCTGTATTTGAGACAATGCTCCCTACATAAGTGAATGAATGAAGTAACCTCTTTCAAATCCCTCCCGTTGATGGTGATTGGCGATAAATGTTGTTGCTGCTGTTGTTGTTGCCTGGTTATTTTCATAACCTCCCTCTTGTTCACCTATTTTCACCTGGAGTCCTGTTTTCGACGGCTGCTTCTTCGACCAGTTTGTCGGTTTTCGCTTGTAAGTCTTCGATTTTGTGTGACATCAAACATAAATCATCCACGCGCGAAATCCAGGTCTTCTAGGTTGTTCACATCGGTCCAGGATATCCCTGTCCCGTTTCTCGTTTCCCACTGTCTGACGCATAATCCAGTCCACCACAATTAGGAATATCATTGGTAATACTAATCACCCTTGTCTGACTCCTGTGTTTACTCCAAACGCCTCACTGAGTTTTCCGTTTTGGATCACATCGAAAGTAATGACGATTGCTTATTTGACAGAAGTCATATATTTGCAGTTTTACTAAAAGGAAGAAAATAATGACTTAGATTTGATGAGTTAGTTTGTAAGGATCTGACCACGGATTGAAAACCGGGGGGGGGGGGAATCGGAAAAATGTTTCGTCTTAGTTTGGGAGTCTTAAACAGTTCTCACCCAACAGGGTTCGAATCCAAGACCTTCCGGTTACCAGGAAAGCCCGAAGACCATTTAGTCACTGTGACCCTACTTAATAGCCAATGAATTCTAACTTCCACTGACTAGTAGTTTTAGAAGTCAGAGTTTACTGGCGATTGAGTTGGATCCTAGTACCCGAATGCTTTACATGCTTGCCTGATAACCGGAAAGTTTTGGATTCAGTCACGGATGGGTATGCAATGCCAATGAGTTGCAAACTAGGACGAAACAGTTGTCTAGTACTCCCCGGTTTTCAGTGGTTCTCTAAATAGCTCATCCAAAGGTCGAAAGGTCGAAATCAAAAATTGACTTCCTTAAATTTCACATTACATGAATCTCATGGCTTAAAAATCAATTAACCTTGTAGTCATGAAAACGTGGCTAAGAAAACTTCCATCAGAGTCGATTTAAATTTAAGTTTGTTAGATCCATGGAATCAAAATTATACGGACCTGCACTGATGAGATGGACAATAAAATATATGGTCTTAACTGAAACTGAGGATTTCAATTAAACCTGTGGGAGAAAACGTCTCCGGTCACAAGATTTTATAATATACCATATATCTGCATTCGTGTTGCTTCTAAAAGTCAAATCGTAGTGGAATTAAAAAGCAAATTAAAAAATACTACGAAATAAAAAGATGCAAAAACCTCAGAAAGATTTTGAAGTAATATATCCTTGTAACAGAAGAGTATTTTAATGGCTTTCAGTTCTGAATTAGTTATTAGATAGTTTCTAATTAGGTGAAGTTCAAACACTAATTTTTTGTCTATGATCATGTGAAATAAAACTTTAGCACTTCGATATTTTATTTTATTGCTGTAAATTCTTCTTATTTTTCTTTTTTGAGAATTCTATCCCTCCTGGATATTTCAAGTAGATATTTAAAAATTTTTCCTACTACATTTATCGTGGGTTAATTCAATAAGCAACCAAGCAAAACAATGTATCACTGAACGCTGTGATGAATTTACTTGATGACTACTAAATATCAAGTGTTGGTTTGCTGGAATTTTATTGGCTATGGGGTCGGATGCGAGCTGAGATGAGTTACAGAACCATTGGAAAACTAGGGAGTATTGGACAGCTGTTTCGTCTAATGGGAAGTCATGAACAGCGGAGTCCACCAAGTCAGGTAGGACAACAGTTACTCGCCTATAACATTGGCAAGCGGTTGCACTGAGCATATCGAGAGCCGGTATAAGTTGAAGTCCTTGTACTGATCATAGAATTGGACCTCAGCGGCTAGGAGCTAGTCTTGTAACCTGAAGGTATTGGGTTAGAATCCTGGTGGGCACATCCTGCTGAAAAGTCGCAGACTAGGAATACTAAATAGTCTTAAACGAGTATATCTTAACATTAGGAGATCGTAAAAGACGCTCAAAAACTGGAGAGATCAGGTGTTTTTCCAGGATATGTATATACTGTGACATGACTGCCTGCAATTTAAACTTCCTGAATAATCCTGTATATTTGAATGGCCTGGGAATATGTCTTATATCACTCACCTGCTTGATTTTCTCTTTTAAAATCATTTACACTGCAAGGTGTACCACAACGCCAAACAAACAGAGTAAGAATGAATTCTTAAGCATTTCCATTTGTGACAATCGATTACATAAAAGCTATGAAAGAGGTAATTTTATCAGTTTAAACACATATTTTGTACAACACTGGCCATAGGGGATGCGACAAAAAATGTTACACACTGCATATACACAAAAAGCAGAATAATTAAGGAACAGAACCAATAAAAACAGGTAAGCACACCTATTAACAACATTCAAGCGGCGTTAACTCCATTGTGATCATTTCTAAGACGGGAGAAAGGATAAATCGTCCCAAGCCAGTGATTCAGATTATCTCTCAAATATGACCCCAATGAAGTTATAACGCAAAAACAGGTGTTAATTTGACGCAGATATCCTTCTTCTTAAGGTGCTACTTGGTGAGATGACCACATCTTCACTGTTTCAACCCAGTCCCGTGACTATCAAACACTGAACGGTATGGGAGCCAATGGAATGACGTTCGTAGTACATTTCCAAACTACAGAAGATGGCGATCCGATGCAATAACACTTGTTGAAAATCGATTCCCATCATATCCATATGCGCTGACAAAGCTCAGAATTTTGAATTAGTTGTGTTCTCTGAGCTGGTTGATTTAATTGCGAAACTTTCGTCGTCCTTCTGGACAACATATTCACAACAGGTCTCAGTACAAAATGAACTCATTTGAATTCTCCATGAGTGATGTAATTGTGTCTCCTGACAACCATTGTCGTGACTGGTTGTTAATTTATGTCGCTACTGATTATTTTTATTGGCTTGCAATTCGAAATTTCTTATCATGTGATTTACTTTCTATTAGCTGGTAAATGTTTTCTGTAATAGTGTGTTTGTTGATCGCTGGCTGATTCCCTTGAGTACCAGTCTTCTAGAAATTCACTGGCACCTTTGGTGTTTCCTTCATTTAAAATTTCTAAATTATCTCAATCAAACTGGTGTCCATAACAGTCTACATGCATTGATATTAAAGAGTATTTATCATGTATTTATCATTTGTAAAATTTTGTCAGACTGTGAGAATCCACTTTACCCGCAGCTCCAACCTTGTGTCTTCTCAGGTAAAACAAGAAGTCTTTTCAGAAGAATTTATGCACGTACGTCTAGGTATAAAAATTCCACTATACCATATTCGGTACATACTTTATGTGATGAAAATAGTGTTAGGCATAAACTAGCTAACCTTCTTTGCTCTACTAAATAAACCATTTCCCCCACCCTTACAACATCAAACTTTATTGTTATTGTACTTCTTATACTTATAGTCCTCTCAATTTTTTGTTTTTACTTGTTTATTTTTTCATAAGTGTGAACATTATTTAAGCTATGTTATAACTGTTAATTTTCTATTTCCCCTCACCGTGCTATATCAACAAAACATTAGACTCAGTAGTCTATAACATGCTAAAATTTTCAAACTGATTCGACAATACTGTTTGAGACAAACTCACTGTTATTATTATTATTATTATTATATTTAAAGATCTCATTTCGTGCTTCGAATATTTTGACTTTATGTCGTAAAATGTGGACAAATTCCTCCGGTTACTTTTGTTTTAATTTTTAATTTTGTTTATATTTGAGTTAATCAGATGCAATATTGTTACAAATGCTGAGAATTCCATTCTGTATTATAAACACTGTTTTTGGAACAAAGCAGATTATTGTTATTATTAAATTGTATGAACTGCAATAAACATTATGTCAAAGTTGACGTCCCCTTCGAATACGAATACGAGAACACAAATTAGTTGTAAAAGGACATGATAAATACTCTTTAATATCAATGCATGTAGACTGTTATGGACACCAGTTTGATTGAGATAATTTAGAAATTTTAAATGAAGGAAACACCAAAGGTGCCAGTGAATTTCTAGAAGACTGGTACTCAAGGGAATCAGCCAGCGATCAACAAACACACTATTACAGAAAACATTTACCAGCTAATAGAAAGTAAATCACATGATAAGAAATTTCGAATTGCAAGCCAATAAAAATAATCAGTGGCGACATAAATTAACAAGCAGTCACGACAATGGTTGTCAGGAGACACAATTACATCACTCATGGAGAATTCAAATGAGTTCATTTTGTACTGAGACCTGTTGTGAATATGTTGTCCAGAAGGACGACGAAAGTTTCGCAATTAAATCAACCAGCTCAGAGAACACATCTAGTTTGAAATCATTCATCTAAGCTACAAATCTTTTCTATCATTTCAAAACCTTAGAATTACATACGTGGCGGTTCTACTGGTTGTATGTAATTCTACGGAGGGGGTGGTAATAGAATATATAGAGTCACTGCACATTGTCTGCTTGACTTATAGCAAGACCGCAGGCACCAAAGCATTATAAGCCTGATGTTTGACAGCCAAGCTAGAGTCATGACGCTTTCAGAGATATCTCTGGTTAGCATATATCCCTTTGGTTTCCACTGCACGCCAAGACATCTCATCCCGCACCTCCACCAGCACTCACACAACTACTATGATACACGAAGTTATCGACTAATTCTTACGGTAAACCTGAGAGGTTGACTTCAGGTAGATGATCTTGGCAATCGTACAACAATACTTTGCATATAAAAGGTGTCATATTTGCAGACACTGGCGTCCCACTGAATAAGTGCAATTCGGGCAGCCTGTATGCCATCGGACAGTCTAAATTTCTCCAAATTATTTACAGCATTTATTGTCTGGATATTTTGAATAACGACTTTGAAACAAAGTAAACAAAAGACACACGCTGGTTTGCTGAGTTTTCTCAGCTCAGAGAATACAACACCAAATACATCTATCTAAACTAGATATCATCTTAGGAAAGACGTATAGCTTAAGGGGGAAAGGAAAACTGGTTCTTAGGAGTTTATAAATACAATGTATAAAACATTCCTGAATGAGGAAAAGTTGCAACTTTCAAGTTTCTATATATTTTCTAAACTGCATATATCTATAAAAAGTGTATATAGCCCGGGGAATGTTTTAAATTTAAATATAATAAAAAATTAAAGACTAAAACTATTTCTATCATGACAAGATAGTAGCTACTTTTAGTAATCATTTACGCGTAGCTATGACAACTGATTAATTTCAGACTAATCTTACAGGAAATGACTGATGACTAATTACTGATTACCTTTGGTCGGATTAGATTTTAGATTTTTTTTTATCATCACAAGCCGATAATTGGGCTTTTATGCTTATCAGTGCTTGTAGTAAGCATGAGTCAGATAAGAGTAAAATTAAAGGATTTGGCCATATAAGGTATGATAACATTAACAAAAGAACAAGTTCAGATTGTCAAAAAACGAGTTGTTTTCAGTCAACCATACTGAAACATTTTCAAATAATTGAAACTTTGAACAGAGAACAAATCTTTGGTTTAATTAACATTTTCTCTAACTGTTCAATAATCTGAAATTTTCTTTTGCTATTATTTTTAACTAAAAGTGTGTCAACCAGTAATCTGAGGAATCTTTCTGTAAATAATTCTCATGATTATTCCTTTCTCAAGCATACCATTCACTAGATATGACTGGACATAGTAAATTGTGTCCTAGATGTCATCCGGAGAGTAATATTATTTCATTCTTATTATTAATCAGACACAAACGTGATATAAAATGGGCACCAAGAGGCGTGCTACACAAAAGCTCACAGTTTCTATGAGGGTTAGAACATTGCAAGGAAGCCCAGATAGAAGTAGGTAGCTGAAGCGATGTCAGGAGCTACCCTTGCATAGTTACCATTGTTAAAAAACAGGTCCATATGATTGAATTCTGGAGCCCACACACCCCAAATTGGAAATCATGGTTTTCTAGCTCAGCAGAGTACACTAGCGTATCCACCAGTCCGGTTGTAATCGCTAGACGCTCTTGACAGGAATACTGTGGTCACGTTGAGGAAATGAATAGGATTTAAACGGTGGATATACTGGTCAAGTCTGCGCCCATAAAGATACTATTTGTAAATATTGTAGAGGATAATAGTAAGTGAAGTGAAGAAAGTGGTTGAAGAGAACTGTTAAAAAATTTAAATTATGAAGATTATTTGAACCAGTTTATTCAAAAAATGGTGCACTCGACACCGCTTATCGTATATTACTGAGGATGTGATTTATGTTGACGTTTGATCATTTAGCTAGTGATTTGGATCGACTTTAGACGCTAAAAACAAGTAAAACTTACCAGTGCAAAAAGTGCTTATTGACACATGAAAACAAGACAGTCACTTACTTCAGAAGCACATTCTTGCAGAGTTCCAACCACTGGAATAAGCATGTTTTCATGTGGAGATTTTAGTAGACGAACAAGCAGTGATATAACGCCAGCACGTTTCATAGCAAGTTTATTTTTTCTTGATTTACTGCACGACCATAAAGCTAATGCACCACATCGTGCTACTTCGATATCACGCTCAACTTCACTTGTCATTGGCACACTGTTTAAACTAGGACAGTCGAGCAGGGCGACCTGAAGATAAAATAGTGTGTTACAGAACTCATTATCACTTAGAAGCATTTAAGAGTCTATACTCTGAGGCATTTATAAGAATAAAACTTTAAGTGTCGTAGTAATCATTATCGTGAACGCTACACATTTTAGCCAATACCAAGTCCCTGACAAGACTCCATATTTCACTCAGATCCTCTATTTTCACCACCAGTTGGCGTGACGTACTTGCGGTTTTGAAAATACTCATATTCCTCGAGAGATATGAGCCTGTGCTAACCATTTTCGAAGACGATGTGTCATTCAATTCGAATCCATCCCACCCATCCACAAATAATACCTATCACTATATTGTCTTACTTTGAAAAGAGTCCTTATGGTACTAAGAACTAAAATCTTGACAGCTACATCAACGAGGACTCGGTGATCGGTTATTTTTAAGAATATGCTTCGTTCATTCAGCGGTAGAACTCACTACAACTACGCACATGATCCAGGGATCAACTCTCGACTGAAGTAGTCCTAAACCTCTCTAGGCTGGTGAAGAAGGAAGGTTGGGTGTGAGTCTAGCAATACCACTCACTGCTACCGAGACTTCATAACTTTAGCTTGAAGCCCCGTGTTCCACTGGGAACATGAATGAAACAAATAATCTCTAGCATTACTGAAGAAATTATATTGTTAATATTACTTAGCAGGCATTCACTACTCTCCAGCTGGCAGTCTGTTCACTCTGTTGTCCAAATTCTTTTATCGATTGAAAGGAAACACTGACATTTTGCTATTTGCGTAACTAAAGTTACATAGACAGTACAAGGCTGGTGGCATTTAAGACACATCACATGATCTATTTTTTATATAGTTTCATATGGTCGGCTTTTTTCTCATATACTAATTGGTAGTTATCCTGAAACTCGGAGTTTATAAAATGTTTCAGGGAGTTTTGCGTAATATAACTTTAAGAAGTCGGAAGCTGAAGAATGCAACCGTGAAATTATAAGACTGCAGTTGATTTATATGAGTTACGATTTTCTTCAGAGGAATTTCTCGTCATTAATTTCGAAATTTCATTTTTTACATCAAAAGCACCAAATTGATGATGGTATGGGAATTGAAAAAATCAGGTAGTTTTAGAACAAGAAATTTAATTTATTCTCCAATCAGCTTAACTGCAGCATAAAAATATGTCACTATTATAATTCATTCTTTGCGTTCTGAGTGGGACATAAAGCTTCAGCAGGATATCTTCAGTACACTGGCTTCTATGGTATCACTTCAACCTGGCTTCAAGACTGCGCACACCCCTTTCTTTTCCTTCACACGTGATCTTTCTACTCTTGTACCACTGAATACTCTGCCTGGAGTGTGACAGTACTTGAAAGTCTTCTAAATGTTTATCTATTTCATCCCCATTCCCTTCAGCATATTTATATTGTAATGGAATGTTAACTGGTTCACAGTCAGAGCTGTGCGTTGTTTATCTTTTCTGGCAATCACAATAAGCGTTTATTCTCAAGCTGTCTACAAGGACCTTATTAATAGGTATTGTTACCAGTGTCCTTCATCTTGATTTCATTGCCCTTTGTTTAATAGTTTTCGAAATGATTTCTCTTAAATAGGACTTAAGTTTCTCAATTCTAATTACATGTATTCTCCAATCCGAAGTTTATCAAAACATTCACAAAGACATATATATATATGTATATAATATAAATATGAGACAAACCAACAAATTATGAAGGCATCATCCAACCAATAACTCAACACAATGACCTCCACAAACTTACCAAGCGTTTTATCCCGCCATACTGTCGAACTGTACGTCTTGCACGATGAAAATTAGCCACATTGGCTATAACTTCTGCGCTCAAGCATTTCAAATCACGATTTGGACTACGCAGCAAATTTACAAGTGGTTGTAAACCACCGATATCAGCGACAGCCTTACGAATTTGTGGATTTTTAGTAATTTCTTTTAAAATTTTCAATGAACCAAGCTATGACCAAACAGAATAAAAGAGGAGAATGAAAACAAATACTAGCACTCTCAAATAATTGAGAATTGAATTTAAAAATAAGTAGGACTTTAGTCAGCCAGCATTATAACACTGTAAATAGATTTTATAAACTGGAATCAGTTTAAAAGAATCTACAGGAAGTAAGGAACCATTGCCGATACATTCAGTTCTCGTTTTAGCCACTTGAAGGCTATACATCTGTGACAGTTAGACTTTAGATATGATAGAGAAAATTTGTAGGTCAGATGGATGATTTTGATGTGGTTGTGTTCTCTGAGCTGGATTGCTAATTTGCGAAGCTTTCATAGCCCTACTAGACGACATCTTCAGCGCATACGTCAATTCGATGAAGTGAGCTTTTACATTTCTCCACGAGTTTATTAATCATTTCTCCTCGTTACCTTGGACGTGATTGGTTGTTATGCTTGTTTTCACACCTTTTAGGATACTTGTATTGGAACTGATTGTTTCTTAGACTTGAACTTTGACCTTTTATGTGTGAGGTTTCTTTCTTTTCGGTTAATAAATTTTGTCTACCTCAATGTATCTATTGATTGACGATTCACTGGAATACCAGGCTTCTGAAAATTCTCTAACATTCTTGTTGTTTCCTCTGTCTAATATTTGAACGTTAGTTGTCTCAGTCGAATTGATGTCCTTGGTTGTCTGTGTGTAGTGATATGAGGGAGTGGATGTCACGTCTTTTGACCGCTAGTTTATTTTCATGAATACGAAGACGAAGGGGACGTCCACTTTGGCTAACGTAGTGTTTTTCGCAGTTGGTACAATTTATTTTGTGGATGATGTTGGTTTTATCTTCTTTCGCTGTTAAGTCTTTTGGTTGAAATAGAACTAAGGGAAGTAACTTTTTTGGTTTGTGTACGACGTCACTGACGTCAAAGTTCAAGTCAAAGTAACAATCAGTTCCAATACAAGTATCCTAAAAGGTGTGAAAACAAGCATAACAACCAATCACGTCCAAGGTAACGAGGAGAAATGATTAATAAACTCGTGGAGAAATGTAAAAGCTCACTTCATCGAATTGACGTATGCGCTGAAGATGTCGTCTAGTAGGGCTATGAAAGCTTCGCAAATTAGCAATCCAGCTCAGAGAACACAACTACATTAAAAACAGTTAGACATTTTTGGAAGTATGATGCTCTCCAGGCGTTCAAAATGCATTCATCAGCTAAGATTTATCTCTGAATATTCATGTATAAAAAGCTTGAGAAATTGCGTTAAATTATATTACTTTTGGAAGGCTAATGTTTGAAATTTAAATCATTTAAATAAAGATTTATCCTGGAATAATGCTATGCAATACTAAATAAGATTTTGTTTGCCAACATACTATTAGAAAATCCTGCAAACTTTATGATGTATACTAAGGTGTTCATAATGTTTTGTTTCCACCTTGAGGAATCTCATGTCTTCCCAGAAATCGCAAACTGTATTATTCAGCTCCGAAGCCACTGATTTCTTCAGTGAGATTGATATTTTCTCAAGAATACAGAAGGATCTCAGAGAACATGAAGTGTGAATAAACTCACTGTCGCCTCTCAGGGAACAAGTATTGTTGTCGAATATTAGGTTATGGTGTACAACAGTGGAAGTTAGTGTCAACACTTTTTTGATTACACATCTACATTCTTTATAGTGGGATAAACAGTCAATACAGTTAGAAATGTGGTTTTTCTGATATCTTCTGCTTCGCTAATATACTGACTTCGACCTTCAGTGTGACTGAAATGTAATCGCAGGTAGCGAAATGTTTTTGTTCGTGATCATTTAAGGGAACCTTCAGCTGTTTATTTCAGTGAACACGTGCGCACATGCCTTTGAATTCATAGTTTACTTGATCCATGCGATTAACTATATTTTAAACTAGCGCCTACAAATTTGTAATGATTCACTCTTATTGTTAACATTTAGTTAGCTGAAGCCAATAGCAAAAGATTACTCTCTTAGGACATCCGATTATTACACAGTAATGTGCTAAATAAGTCTTTTTTTTGATGTGGTTTTGTTCTCTGAGCTGGATAGTTAGTTTGCGAAGCTTTCATCACCTTACTGGGTGACATCTTCAGCGCATACTTCAAATTGAAGTGAGCTTTTAGGTTTCTCCACGAGTTTATTAATCATTCCTCCTGGTGACCTTGGACGTGATTGGTTGTTTATGTATGTTTTCACACCTTCTAGGTTACTTGTGTTGGAACTGATTGTTTCTGTGACTTGAACTTTGGCCAATCGTGTGTGAAGTTTCTTTCTTATTGGTTGATAAATTTTGTCTATCTCGATGTGTCTATTGATTGATGATTCACTGGAATGCCAAGCTTCTAAAAATTCTCTAGCATTCTTGTTATTTCCTTTGTCTAATATTTGAACGTTGTCCCAGTCGAATTGATGTCCGTGGTTGTCTGTGTGTAGTGAAATGAGGGAGTGTATATCATGTCTTTTGACGGCTAGCTTATGTTCGTGGATACGAAGACGAAGGGGACGTCCACTTTGGCCAATGTAGTGTTTTTCACAGTTGTTACAGTTTATTTTGTAGATGATGTTGGTTTTGTCTTCTTTTGCTGTTGAGTCTTTTGGTTGACATAGAATTGAGTGCAGCGACTTTGTTGGTTTGTGTACGACGTCAATTCCTAAAGGTTTGAAGAGTCTTTTAGTGATTTCTGAGATATCCTTTATATATGGTAAGGCGATTTTCTTTGTGTTTTCCTTGGTGGCTTTTGTTTTGGTAGGTTGGCTTGGGGGTATATGTCTCTTGATGAAATTCCGGGGATATCCATTCTTTTGGAAGACGTCCATGAGATACTTTTCTTCAATTTTTCTTAAGGTGGGAGTGCTGCAGTGAGTCCTTGCTCTCTTGAATAGTGTTTGTATGCAGTTCCTTTTGTGTGCTATTGGGTTGTTGCTGTTGTAATTCAGTATTTGGTCTGTGTGAGTTGATTTCCTATAAACTTGAGTTTCTAATTCTCCTGTAGTTGTTCGCCTGACTAAGACGTCCAAAAATGGTATTTTGTTCTCGGATTCCTCTTCTCTTGTGAATTTGATGTCGTTGAAGACGTTGTTTATTAAGTTGTGAGTTTTGTCTAATTCGTTTCTTTTGATTATTACAAATGTGTCGTCGACGTAGCGTATCCAAATCTTGGGTTTGATCTTTGGTAGAATTATGTTTTCGAGTCTTTGCATCACTGCTTCTGCAATCAAACCTGATATTGGCGATCCCATGGGTGTTCCTTTGACTTGTTCATATATTTGGCCGTTGAATTGGAAGTATGTTGTTAGGCATAGATTTATGCATTCCATCCAGCTTGTGTGTTGCATTTTTGATTGTTGTGGAAGTTGTTCGTCGTTGCTAAGTAATTGCTCCATGGTTTCTTTTGCTAGTTTTTGTCCGATAGAGGTATATAATGCTGTCACGTCGAAGGATACCATTATTTCTTGTTCATCTATTTGGATGTCTCTGATTTTCTCTAGGAATTGGATAGCAGAGTTGATGGAGTGATCACGCTACGTGGACGACACATTTGTAATAATCAAAAGAAACGAATTAGACAAAACTCACAACTTAATAAACAACGTCTTCAACGACATCAAATTCACAAGAGAAGAGGAATCCGAGAACAAAATACCATTTTTGGACGTCTTAGTCAGGCGAACAACTACAGGAGAATTAGAAACTCAAGTTTATAGGAAATCAACTCACACAGACCAAATACTGAATTACAACAGCAACAACCCAATAGCACACAAAAGGAACTGCATACAAACACTATTCAAGAGAGCAAGGACTCACTGCAGCACTCCCACCTTAAGAAAAATTGAAGAAAAGTATCTCATGGACGTCTTCCAAAAGAATGGATATCCCCGGAATTTCATCAAGAGACATATACCCCCAAGCCAACCTACCAAAACAAAAGCCACCAAGGAAAACACAAAGAAAATCGCCTTACCATATATAAAGGATATCTCAGAAATCACTAAAAGACTCTTCAAACCTTTAGGAATTGACGTCGTACACAAACCAACAAAGTCGCTGCACTCAATTCTATGTCAACCAAAAGACTCAACAGCAAAAGAAGACAAAACCAACATCATCTACAAAATAAACTGTAACAACTGTGAAAAACACTACATTGGCCAAAGTGGACGTCCCCTTCGTCTTCGTATCCACGAACATAAGCTAGCCGTCAAAAGACATGATATACACTCCCTCATTTCACTACACACAGACAACCACGGACATCAATTCGACTGGGACAACGTTCAAATATTAGACAAAGGAAATAACAAGAATGCTAGAGAATTTTTAGAAGCTTGGCATTCCAGTGAATCATCAATCAATAGACACATCGAGATAGACAAAATTTATCAACCAATAAGAAAGAAACTTCACACACGATTGGCCAAAGTTCAAGTCACAGAAACAATCAGTTCCAACACAAGTAACCTAGAAGGTGTGAAAACATACATAAACAACCAATCACGTTCAAGGTCACCAGGAGGAATGATTAATAAACTCGTGGAGAAACCTAAAAGCTCACTTCAATTTGAAGTATGCGCTGAAGATGTCACCCAGTAAGGTGATGAAAGCTTCGCAAACTAACTATCCAGCTCAGAGAACAAAACCACATCAAAATTATCCACCTGAGCTACAAATCTTCTCTATCATATCTATAAGTCTTTTTCGGCGTTACTGTGAATAAAAAATATCCCTTGTGGACGATAACCACCCCAAACTTCTTAAACCTTATCACATACGATGATACCAAGGAGCAGCAGAGTTACTAGGACGTCTTCTTCTCCATTTTTAACCTGAGCAGGTATAAATAACTACAAGTTATTCTCGACTTCACTTTTCCATAAAGGTATATATAAACTTTTTATTCACCTCCTGAAGCAGTTTAGCTTACCTTACAACGAACTTCATCAGTTTCAAGTAAATTGATAAGAACTTCAATCCCACCGACATCACGAACAGCCAATTGACAAATTTCAGTTTTCAATGGCATGTCTCTTAGCGCACAAAGTGATATAATAGTCGATGTTTGATTCCCTCCCTTTTAAAAGCAAAAGCAAAAATTGTTTAAAAATGTATAAAAGTAAAATCAAAAAACTCATAGAATATTTCATACCATTTAAATACATCGTATAATTCAGAAAACTGACAGAATAGAAGTAAATTATGAAGTGCATTTAGGAAGATTATTGTGGACATCTACTCAATGACTTTTTTTTCTATTAGTTGTTCGTTTGTGTGTGTTTTTTTCTTTTTTTAATTCCTTTATGTTCCCAGTGGAAAATAGGGCTTCAGGTTAGAGACTTAAAGTTTCTGTAACAGTGGTGTTTACTTTTACTGTGTGGGTTTGTTAGCACCATGGCCAACGTTCCCTCTTTACCAGTCTTAGCGACGTTTTGAGAGTGCGTCAGAAGCGGATTGAACCTTGGACGACATACGTGGTTACCATTCTACCACTGTGCCACCGATACACATTTATGTATTAGAACTTCATAAAAAGCTTGAGGCCTGAAGCATTTTGAGGAGTGTTTAAAATTAAAAACAATAATCCACTTAGAAGTATGTAAGTGACAAACGGTGAGTGAAATTAGTTTTCTCATTTAAACTGTCTATAAATTTTTCACAAGAATGGATACTGAACAAAGAGTACACTTTTCGATAACTTCATCATCAGGCTCTACAGTAACATATACATTATAGTGAATGAATGAATGAATTAGTGTTATGAGCAACATTAATGTTGTTTAAATAACATCGAATCAATTACAGCATCAATTATAGCATCAACATAAAATAAGCCGAATGTCAGAAAAAAAATTAGGAAAGATAATGTTACAAATTCATGCATTTATAGTCTTTACTGAAGACCAGGGCAGTAGTAGAGGCTGGACTTGCTTCTTTTGAACACAGAGAACTGGTTGTTTAAGGCAAATTGCAATAGCCTCTGCTGTTTGCAGCATGCGGTGCTTCGATGATTTTGCCAATTTAGAAGGCACCCAGTAGATAATAGAGAAGGATTCTTCCACGCTGGCTGGCTTTGTGGCCGGCCAGTTTGCACCAGATGGTCGAATATCGAACTGTTGATGGTTTTCACTGCACCTTCACTTAACCCAAATGGCAGGTGTTCTCGAGCACAAAAAATCAAGATCCTAGAGCAACGGCCAATATAACTCGCCCCACCACAAGCGCAGTTGAATTGGTAGATACAACTGGTAGTGGATAGTCTAAGTACTTCATCTTTCAGTCGAGGTAGCACCATCGGTCGTGTAGACACTAATACGTGTAGTTCGCCAGCATTAAAATTTCTTTGAACTGATTTTCTCAATTTCCTCGTAATTAGCTCACTTGGTATATCGCCCTTGAATTGTATTTGTAAATAAAGCGGCCTCTTGTTTACAGAGAGTGAGTAGTCCTTTTCTGCTTTCTCTGTCATGTGTCTCTTGATAAATTTTTCGGGATAGCTATTTTTGATCAAAGTATCATATAAAATGCTTAATTCATTTTCAATTACTTCTTCTGAGCATATAGCTCTAACTCTGTGGCTGAGGGTCTTCAATAAATTTCTATAAATTATTCTTAATAAAAGAGGTTTTTTTAAAATATAAATTGCCTAAAGAATGGTGAAAAATAAGAACCTTTAATCATTTTCAGTCTTACTACTTGTCGATTCCAACCAATGGTAATTTAAGGTCTGCTAGTTGACTGAGAAATTTTTGCATGGAGGATTTAATCATGAGCTGACATCAGTTAGAGAACCAGCTCATGATTAAATCCTCCATGCAATCAAACAAAATCCCTACAAAATGCAATACTTGAGAAATTTTTAACAACACAGAATTATTAGAAGTGACCTTTATCTATCTTAAATTTACTAGTAAGAATTCAGTGAAATTTGAACTGTGAATAAATTTTCCGGATTTTGAATGAAGGTCTATTTTAAATTGAACTGTTCCACTCAACCTGGAACTGCTAGCAATGAATCCGAAGACAATCTGGAATATATCTTTATTTATAATCGTCTTTTCTTTTCCTGTTAAGGCCAACGTCAATTATTAGGTCTGAAGTTGAACAAACTAACGCCACTTTGTGAAACCTAGTCAACTTAAACGATAGAATAACTGATGAAATGTATTCTGTCTGTCTGTTTTCGACATAGAACTTTGCACCGATGTGTGGCAGTTCAAGCCGCCACACTCCATGTAGCACACAAATCAAGAGAATAAAGTAGAAGAAACGCATAATAGAGACAGTAAACAGAGGTGTGAGACAAAGGAATAGTAATTATTATATCCTTTAATTCCTAGAGGAACATAGGGCTTCAGCTGCGCACCTCCATTGCCTTCGGTTTTCTGCCAACTTTTTCACTCCGTTCCAAGTCTGCCCACATGCTTTCATCTTCTCTTCACATGGCCTCCTTCAAATCACCCTTGCACTGACGACCAACTCGCCGCTTCCCTTTCAGGTTCCACTCGAGCGATGGCTTGTCAAATGATGTCACTTGGTGGTTTCCTCAGCGTATGGCCAATCCATCTCCATTTCTTCCTGCCTATTTGTTGCACAATCGGTTCCTAGTTGGTTCGCTCGTTGCCAGAGATCCCACCCTGTTGTTGATCTTTTCTGGCCGGTCATCTGATCTTGAGTATTGAGCGAAGACAACTGTTAATGAAGGTTTGAAGTTTGTTTGAGATGCTCTTTATGACGCACCAAGTCTCTGATCCGTATAGTAGCACTGACTGACTTCACATTGGAGTTGAAAATCCGGACGGATGTTATTTTTGATGGTGAGTGCTGTTGACCTCCAAACAAACTTAGGGGTAATAAAAGCTTGTCTTGCTTTTCCGATTCTGGCTTTGATATTCTCGTCAGTGCCGCCTGTAGTTGAAACGATGGTTCCCAGGTTGGTAGGTTAAGGAGGTTGTTTCTTTCAGGTTCCTCTCATTTATGCTGATTGTTGTTTGTCGTTGTTGTTGTTGCTGTTGGTGTTGGCCAGGAATCTTCATCACCTGTGTTTTATCTATGTTCACTTGAAGTCCTATCTTCCCAGGATGCTTCTTCTGCCAACTTGTTGCTTTTCACTTGCATATCTTTCAGTTTGTGGGAAATCTGACATATATCGTTGGCGAAGTCCAGATCCTCCAGGTTTTTTGTGTGGGTCCATTTTATGCCTGTTTCCTCATTGCCCGTTGTCCGTCGCATTATCCAATCTACTGCAACCAGGAAAATCTATGGCGGTGTGAGACAAAGGAAAAGTAATAACGAAGAACAATACAGTTTCATTTGAAACCAAGGAGTAGATGCATCTGCGCCGGTTATTGAGAACGATTTTGAGCCATGTCACCAATTGTTTCCAACCATAGATTTTTACCGTCCCGAGGACCCCAACCAGGAAGTCTACACCTTCCTGCGTGCCTTAGACTGGCCGTTATAGATTTCATTGACTGGTGCCATGTTTTGGTTTGACCGCCGCTAGGTCTTTTCCAGCCTTACCCTATGTCAGCTAACATTGCCCGTCAAGGAAGGAGATGACTAGGAATGCACACGTAACACATGTCCTAACCATCTCAGTCTATGTAACTTCACAACCTCTTCGATTGATTTCCCCTCCTTACCTAGAACTCGACAGTATCCTAACCTCAATATTGCTCACCTTATTATAACACTTCACACGGGAGATAGAACGCAGGAACCTATGATCAGAGACAGCTAATCTTTTCATGCCTTCCACTCTCAATGGCCAGGACTCATAGCCGTAAAGGAGGACGGAGCGGACTGATGAGCAGTACACCCGCCCTTTGGTCGATAGTTGGATATCACGTCTACTAAGCCAGAGACGTCGTTAACTGGCATATGCAAAACTAGCCCTCTGTATGCGTGCTGAGATTTCGTCAGAGATCAACCCGTTGGGGCTGATGGTAATTCCCAAATATTAAATGTATTCATTTCTAAGAATTTTGACTGATGAGTATTCATGAGTCAGGTAGTATAGAATACCCTTAGTTTAACTGCTTCATCTTAATGTAATGCCATAAACATTAGTCAAGAAGATACAAGGATGGTACTTCAACGAAGGAACTAGTCTTTAAAATAGCATCATAATTCCAACTCGTTGATTAGCCTCAGTCACTAAAGGACTACCATTTTAATAACTTCTATGGACTCTGATGCACAACCATTATGCTTTTTCATTGAGAAAAACGATCACAGTTAAATAAGACAACAAAATAACTTACCTTCAAATATTTAACCATTTTACCAATTTGCCAATATTCAGATGGTAGGTCAACATTTGCATCTTGTCTTCTCTCGGGTATATCGTCTTCTAATTCAGTCTCACTCTCTGAACTTGGCTCACTACAGCTATCATCCAGTCCGGAAGAAGCACGTCTGCGTCGTTTTTATATTTCAAAAAATAATAATAACAGCAAGGTAATGAGAAGTAACAACCAATTAAAAAGTACGTCTTTTTGGCATAAAACATTCAGAATGAAACAAAAAAAACAGAGAAATAAGACAATTAAAACGATCTTTTGTGTTCAAACCTTGGTATAGCTTGATCCTTCAATCTTTCTAACGTGATAATATCCGTATATCTTCTGTAAATTATTTAAATATATATGTATATATATACAATGAACCAGAGGATGAATAGAGAACAAACTACTTTCAAACTGTAAAACAACACCAAAAAACCCACTAAAATGATTGTAAACAAGCAAAAGAACCTGTTAACTGAAACATCGAATTATATAAGCTAAAGTCTATGCTAAACAAAACACGATTAACGTAGTTGCTTCCTTTTTTTCTCCTACTTTTTTACTCGTTTCAAATCCTGTACACTTTTATTCTGATTAACATTCTCATCAAGAAATTCGATTGTATCATATACACTACTTATAACAGTGGTAGTAGTAGTAGCAGCAGTTGCATTAGTACGATTTTCAAGGAAATATAAATTTGTATTCATATCACAGTTTTTCACATTCTCATCATTATTCACATTGTCATTTTTATTAGAGTCATCTACAGTGGCTTCTGGCTGTTCAGTGAAATTAATACCACTACTGTTAGCGTTATTATTGTTGTTATTATTATTGTTAGTATTGTTCATTGCACAACCACTATCCGAAAAAGCATCAGACGATTGTTTATCAGACTCTATTGAACTGGATGTTGATGATTCAGATGAAGGCGACGATGATGGTGATGAGAATGAAGAAACAGGTGAAGATGACAACCTGAAAATAATTTTGATGACAAGAGTAAAAAAAGTAAACACAGCGAAATAACTGATTAATTAATCAATAATGTCTGGGGTAAATTTGTCGACAGCAAATGAGACAGTGTAATATATACAGTTGAAATTAATGTCTTGATGATATTTGCGTGATAAGGAATTGTTTTTCTACCCACAGATTAATGATAAACTACGTTAACCGCTATCATAATGTGATACTGAGGCAAACATGAAAAGCAAATCAGATATCAAGTGTTTTCATGTACAAATTTCAGACTCGAAGAGTTTAGATATATGATTAGTAAAAACTTTACACATTTTGGCAGGTTTAATTTCCCGACTAAGAATAACAAACTTTAATGAAAATAGCTATCAGGAAATGGGAATTGTTAACTGCTATATTTTATTCAACTAACTTGATATGAGGGTGATTTCTTAAGCTTCAGCGACTTGTTGCCTGAGCAACAGCATTTCCTTAGCATTTGTCTTAGTCCAATAGTGAAGATCGACTGGTAAGTCAAAAAGGTTAAGGAACAAGGGATGCTGGCAGTCTAGCTAACCAACCAAGAACATATTACCCGAAAGTATGTAGAAGGAAATGGCAATGGATTGGACATACTCTTAGGAGACTATCAAGTGACATCACGCTTCAAGTCCTCCAAAAAGCCCGATTAAGAAGTGACCGGTTAGGCGTCTGAAGAATACATGGAAGTCATTTGATGAGGAGACGAAGACTTGTACACAGTTGTAGAAATGGTTGAAAATGATGGCAGAAAACAGAGTGGAATTTAAGAAATTTTTATTTTTTTTATTACAGCTTGCTTCTATACAGTATCTTTTGGTATAAGTATGAAATTTTCAGAGTGTGATATCGGTAGCCCAAATTTTGCAGGCCGACCATAGATATTGAGTGTGCATCGGCAGGGGATCGAACTCCGGACCATGTGCATGGTAGGCGAGCGTCCTAACCACTGTACCGAAGCCCGATATTGCACTCGAAATCAAGTAAGGTATGATCAACTGATTTAACACAACTTCACAAATGAAACAATCATCATAATGCACTAGTTTACAGGAACTTCAGACAAGCACCTTATTACAGTTTTGCTTGTAGCACATCTACACAATTTAAATCATATACTTTTGAACATTCAGTCTTCAATAACTGAGAACCAAGAAGAATCAGAGAGGAGAGGAGATGTGTAAAGTTTTCGGGGATACAAGTACTTATATTAGTGAATATGTAACACACATCTAAGGTGATTGTAATATATGTCTTGAAGTTGACCTTACGTCATCTTATGTGTTTATCAGAGTAGGACTAGGCTAGTGTGCGTCGGTGGCACAGTGGTTAGGACTCTCGCCGACCATGCACATGGTCCGGGGTTCGAGCCCACGCCGGCGCACGTCTGATATCTATGGTTGGCCTGCAAAATTTGGGCTACCGATATCCATGCTGAAAATTCCATACTTGTACCGAAAATACAGTGTGGAATCAAGCTGTAAATCAAAAAAAAAAAAGAAAGGAAGTGTTAGTCAAATAAAGACACATCATGAATAGCTGATGTTATCGACTTCCGTTCTAAAATTAACTTAGGGATGTACAGTTCATCTGGTAGATTCCCATGTGATAAGAAGAATCCTGGTTATAGCGAATCTTTACGGCATAACTCAAAATCAGTTGGACCAATGCGAATGAAATGACATCAGGGATTGTCTTAATAAATTCTTCATTCTATCGGCCTTTTATACTTACATCTCTTAATACTCTGTCACTTTTGATCAGATGACTTTCAGTTGCTTGTCTTCCTTTTATTCCATATACAGGTATGAATTATGGCGATTTCATTCAGTATGCAATAATAACAAAGATTTTTCGTTAGCTATTTACATCTATCTCAGTTTATTTCATCAAGAAATCCTTGTTTTCTTATTATCATTATTTACTACAAATAGTAACAACAATAATTTAAAAATTACAACCACTATAGGTGCCTTTACGTCGTGATGTAACCACAGAAGGCAAGACATGGAAGCCAAGGCATATTTTCAAATGATCAAGCAGCTATATACTGAGTGTGTGATTTCGGTTGACACTGAACGACAGGAAATTTTGACTTGATTTTGATTTTGATTGCAGCTTGATTCTACACAGTATTTATTTTTTAGTAGAAGAAAGAAATTTTCAGCATGTGATGTCGGTAGCCCAAATTCTGCAGGCCGACCATTGATATCGGGTGTGCGTTGGCAGGAGATCGAACCCCGAACCGTGTGCATGGTCGGTGAGAGTCCTAACCACTGTGTCACAGACGCACAAATAGATATATCGTATCATGTTTCTAATGCCGAATTTAACTGTGAGAATAATATTCCATTGGAACACATTGTCTGTATCACACCACCACAGTTCTATTTTAGAAATAATAGAAGGGTAACCAAAAAAGAAGCGTCTGTGTCTTAGTGGTAGGATACTGGCCAGCCAGACAAGTGGTCCAGGGTTCCCTCCCGGGCTGAGGCACTCATTTACCTCACTTAGCCGGTAATAAGTCTAGTAAACAAGGTGAGTTGGGGGTGAGGCTAGCAACCCCATCCCGTAAAAATAAACACCACTGCTACTGAAACTTCAAAGTACCAGCTTGAGGCCACATGGTTCCATTGGGAACGAAAATGAACAGAATCAAGGAGATGCCATACTAATCATCCTTTTGAGTTTCATCTGTAAAATCACTTGACATTCTAACAAAGATGAGCATAATCTTTTATGGGCAAAGTTCAACAACAGTGTCTCAGGAGTGCGAACGCTCCAATGACTCTGTACTCATGCTAGTCGTTGGCTAACGGCACCTATCATTATCATAGCTGAAATATCAAAGCTATCCACCAGCCTTGCAGCAAATTTCACCGAGATCACATTTTTGAGTACCGTTTCAACAATGTGTTAATAGCTCATTAGGGTTAGGAGTAGGCTTAAGGTAAGTATTAGGGTCAGGGTTAGAATCAGAGTTATAAATAGCATTAGGTTTAGAATTACGGTTAGGATAAGGGTTATGATTAGGGTTAGGATTAAGGTTAGTGTTACGATGTCATTTATTTTAATCTGTTTTATTATCCACATTTCCCTGGTAAGTAGTCGTCGATCCGCTTACTGGAAACCATAGTAATTCAACCGAGGGCTTTGAGGAGGACTGCACAACAGGGTAAGAGAGATGAACGATTTACAAAAACAGCTCATCTTCAGTCACCCCAGTGAATACATGTAGAGAAACTAGTCTAACTTAGCAACTGATACTTCTCAGTATAACTGGGACGTATGTTTAAGACATGTCAGAGAAAGTTAACCTGTTTAATTTGTTTTAATGCATTTTCTTGTCAGTAAACGTCATTTTTTTGTGCGAAAATTCCTCATTTTTATGATTAGTTGGCTGAAGGTCAGTCGTGCGTTCACATCCCTTGGGACGCTATTGTTGGACCTTGCTTATTTGTGTTATGTGCTGATAAAACTAGAAAATGATAAAACATTTCCATTGTATTTGTTCCTATTAACAAGGTTCTGTATCTTTATAAGTTACGAATGTTCCGTGTACCAACCAGTTGATGCCATGGATGCTACAATCGAATTCTTCATCTACTAACATCCTAAGTGTCTTTTTTCGACTTAAGCATATTCACTGGTTCGTAAATCAGGCTTAATTTGACATCATATTTAAATTATTATGCAAAAAATCTTTTACTATGCTTCATGGTAAACTGCACGAAACTATGTTGTGTAGAACAAATATCTCAAGATTTCAAACAATTAGAGGCAGTCTGTAGGAAGACCTGAACCACAGGTTATATGATTGAATGGAGGATTTCATCATGAGCTGACATCAGTTAGAGGACCATTGGAAAACCTGAGAGTACCGGACAGCTGTTTCGTCCTAGTTTGGGACTCTTCATCGGATCCCAGTGGCTCAGTGATCTACGAGATCGTTGGCCTTGTAACCAGAAGGTCCTGGGTTCGAACCCCGGTGAGTGCGTACTGATGAAGAGTCCCAAACTAGGACGGAGGAAACAGCTGTCCAGTACTCCCAGGTTTTCCAATGGTTCTCTAACTTATGTCAGCTCATGATGAAATCTTCCATTCAATCAAACAAAATCCCTACAAAAC